GAAATTACGAACAGTTTATTAGAGAGGCAAAAGAAATGAAAGACAGGGAAATATCTTATCAGCAAACACTTCCAGGTTTCTTAAACACCCCACTTATGTTAATCGTCATGGTATGTTTATGGTTTGATAAGGGTAACATAGAAGATACGATTACTAAAAGTATCTGTGGAATAGTAGAATTTATGATCAATTATGCTGAAGGTTTCCAGCAAGGTGTTTTTAGGAAAAAGAAACGATCCGCCGGCAAATTGGAAGGTATAGAAAATCTAAATGAGCTGAAAAGGGAATGGTCAAAACATGTGCATGTCGAAACTTTGCCATCTCAATTAAGGCAGAAGGATATTCTAGTAACCTATGCTGGACTGATATTGAAGGTGTCGGAGTTTGCGTTCGATTCACTTTTCAATACTAAACACAAAATACGTTTAGTATTTTCACAAACAGAATTACTTAATTATTTCAGTCAAGATGAACTACATGTTATAATGAAGATAGGACTTTTATCTCAATCCGAGGTAACAGAAACATTCCTTTGCCGAATGACAAAACTTTCTTTCATCCAAAAGTTATTCCACGAATACCTAGCAGGTGTTTTCATTACGATTCAATTTCTTTTGCCAACAGACAAAAATATTAAAACCGTTGACATGCTAGAAACATATTTCAAAGACCCAGACGGAAAAAGTCTTTCAAATATAGACAACGCAGTGTGCTTTGTAGGAGGTATAGATCCAGTTGCAGGAAGTAATATGTCAAAAAGGCTGTTCGATGCCATATATCTCGTATACAATGACCACGTCGAGTATTTTAATACATTGTTTTTGAGGCAAGTTCAAGTTGTGCATGAAAATGATAAAAATTATCCCTCGCAGAAATATCCTATTTACACAAAATTCATCTCTGTACCGAAAGACCTGGGGAATGGAAAAATGAAATATTTGCATTTGCTCATCAAGACGAATATTAATCATCTATTATTGATAGAAGCACCGAGCGAAATAGCGCCAGAGGTTTTTAAAAGTCTTAGAGATGAAGCAATCTCACAGGAATTAACTCTTCGCATCTATGACGTTACTCCAAACACTGAACCAGTATCTTTAAACAAATCGTTACAATGTGTTCCAGATCTGCAAAGTTTAGAGCTTCGTGGCAGGTCCAGTGGCTCTTCGGAATCTGAACAGTTTGTCTGTTTTGACCTCACGAGCACCTGTCTCAAGAAGCTAGAGTTAAAAGGATTTTCAAATATAAAGATATTGGTTAGAAATCAAACGGAAGTTCTATGTGATGACGATACTAAATATGAAATCGAAATTCAGAATATGTAATTAACTGTTTTGATTAATTACTGTGTCATTAAAAGTGTTAGAGAATGAAACATTTAATACTAAATATGCAATGTATATACAACACATATAAACAAAAATGACAGTTGTGAAAATCCCACTGTCCTACTTCTGTTTTTCTCCTCAACATTTCTCAGAACGGACATGTTGCTTTTGATTCCTTAACATTAATTGTCTTCAATTTCAACATTTTTGTCAACGATTCATTCTCTTTAGAAACTGTCTTGTATTCGGTTATATTATATTCTTGTCAATAAATTGATACAGAGGTAAACAATAGTTATAGTGTAATACAGTGTAGCTAGGTATAGATAGTATCTTGTAAAATAAAAATATGTCGGAACTTTTGAAAAATCAAAGGGAGGCAAACCATTTTGTTTAGGCCATAATTGTATGAACGAGTTATTTATTTGGTAATATCTTCCATTTTTTTTCATTTCAGCTGTCTTATCTTTTTTAATATAACAGAATTATAGGGCAAAAAAAACAACATTTAAACATTTCAAAGTTTAGAACCTTGTAACATACATATTAGAATTTCATAATTCTGACGTTTTTTGTGCTCTTATCATTTGAAATATATTTATGAGAATTTCTCAACCAAGAAAATAATCTTATGATAGGAAATGTATACACAAACCAAAACGTATAACAAAAGTATGATGTTAAATTATCTGTGTTAAAACAAACTGTTTATAACTGTTTGTAACAGATAGATGCCTTACGCAGCTTTTACAGTGTAAGATCATCATTATTATGTTATTCATTCTTTCAAACACAGGCGGTATTGATAATTCCTTTGAAAACATAGTATCGTGGTTCCATGAATTTACTCTGAATATGTATGCGTTGTTGCACCGCTTCTTTCGTTGCCTGTAACACCGTATAAAATATAGCTTACACCGAATGCAGCTTACCGTTATCTATGTTATCCGTATACGTCAAGATTCTGCATATCACCGTACGAGCACATTGTTGAAAGACGACCATGACAATTACTGTGTCCACTACCGCGACCACAATTTTACGACGACAATTTCGGCTTCCGACTTGGATGACGACGACTTTGATCAGTGGATAAAAAATCCAACGCATACACTAACGAATATAGCTCACCGTAAGCTATATACAAATGTACATTGTACATTTCAACCAACGTATAAAGCTCAGATGTAAGCTATATATATATAGGAGGCTGAATACGTTACATAATATGTTACAAGCTTTGTCTATCGTCATCATTTCGTGATTATATATGATACAACTATATGTACCATAAGCTCAAAATTATCTTTTTATGAATGGCAATATATAGACTCCATTGCAGAGATAATTTGATGATTTAGATAGCTTGGTACAAGACCACAAGGTGATGCTAAGTACTAACTCTCTTACAGTTTTTTTCTACAATTCAATAAACCAAGTGAACCACAGGGCATGGCCAGTTTTGGTAGAGGTCCAATACTACCTGCAAAATATCTAAACGCAGGATATTGTCACTCAAGTCACCCCCTTGGTCAGGCCGATTTTCATCCCAGTGTCATGGTTTATATAACATTGCAGAGGGCCTCAAAGTGATGCTTTCTGCGATATACCTTAATGATGCTATTTCAAGTAGGTTTGTCATAGTTTAACAATGATTTTGTGCATGCCATATTCATTCTGTCTTAAAGGAAATATCCTAGCAAGTGTTTTACATAAGCAATCTTTCTTTTCAAAATGTGTCCATAGGACACGGGTGCCCCCACCGCGCCACTGTTATGTCAATCTTATGACTCTTGGTCAAATATTTTTTGAAAACTAAAAATCTTTTACTAAGTAAAGTGCAAGAACTTTACAAATACTGAATAAATCCACAAGCAAACCCCAAGGTGCATAAGTACACATGCTGACCAACATTCTTGTAAACTTTCAGGCCTACAAGTGAAATACTTTTTGAGCAATGCATGAACAAGTTAAAAATTGCAAATTTATACTACTGTAAGTCAAGGGCAATAACTCTAACAAAACTGAAAAAAATCCACATGCAAAGTCCTAGGTGCATAGCTTCTCAGTGATGCGAATCATTATTCCTGTAATTTAGTGATGTTGATCATTATTCCTGTAAAGTTGGTTGATTCTAACTCAAGCACTCAAGGAAGAAATACAATGTAACAACATAATGAAACGGTTTTTACTAAGTCAAGGGAAATAACTCTACATTTACTGGATAAATCCACAAGCGAAACCCCAGGTGCAAAACTAAATATGCTGAGCAACCTTCTCGTAAGGTTTAATGACTCTCTGTCAAATCCTTTTCGAGTAACATGCGACACAAGTTGAAAATTGCAAATTTTTTCTCAGTCAAAGGCAATAACTCTAAAAGTACTACATAAATCCAGACGAAAATACCCGGTGCACAACTACACATGCTGATCAATATTCCTGTAAAGTTTCATGACTCTATGTCAAATACTTTTTGAGTTACATGCGACACAAGTTGAAAATTGCAAAATTTTACTAAGTCAAAGGCAATAACTCTAAAAATACTTAATAAATCCAGACGAATATACCCAGGTGCACAACTACACATGCTGATAAACATTCCTGTAAAGTTTCATGACTCTAGGTCAAATACTTTTTGAGTTACGTGCGACACAAAAGAGAACGGACGGAAGGACGGACGGAAGGACGGACGGACAAGGTTAAATCTAAATGCCCGCCACTAAAGTGGGGGCACAAAAATATTCTTTTGCAGCAGACGTGTAGCTTTAAGATTTCATTTTAAGTGCATCAGACTTGAACTGTTCATACAACTTTTGTAGAGCGTCAAGAAACTTTCATCACTGTGACGTTTGGTAAAAATGTCAAAATTCAACACGTGTTTTACACTTAAACTTGTGGATAAGGACGGGGCGATTGACGTAAAACATGCTATCACTAAGGCTTAAAGCTTAGTTTAAAGCAGCATGGCCCATGCCTGTTATCATGAAAATTTTAAAAATACATTTACAAGTAAAATATTTTGAAGTGAAAACAGGAAGTAATTTACACATTGCAAGCGGCACTTACAATTCACGAAAATTATCCAATAGGTCAAAATATATAAAAATAGGCCTTACTGCGTTAGTCACGCTGTAGAGTCATCAGTCGTATATAACAGGTAAATTATTGCTTAAATCTTGCATCTTTTTACTTTTCTTTAAATCGTAGTACATGTTTCTTAAGTTTGATTTTCTTGAAATGATCAAGTTTGATATTTGAAAATAATGATTATTACTGAAGTTACAAATATCCGAGAGTTCTGGTGCTACCCTTAGTAGTTAACTGGTTACTCTCCTTACTATTGCAAATGTTTCTTTGGTTGTGATATAATGCTATTTAGATTATTTAATCATTTATAAAGGGTGTTCATAAAATCACGTTAGGTTGTTTTCAAATGAGAAGATCATACTATGATGCAATCGGAACGTCATCGGCTATTATCTATATATCCGAAGACTGACGGAAGTTGCGATTGATTATGATGATGAATTTCCGTGACATGGCATTTGACCTTTCAACTTGAATAGTGACTACCTATTGCAATTCATCAAGTGACAGACCAAACTTACATGTGATTGCCTCGATATAATTTCTACCCATAATGCTCTTATATATAAATAAATAATAGTGATATTGAAGCGGCATTATTTATTCATTTTAAGACAAAGCATAATAAATACTATTACTTAGCTCAAAATACATAGTTATACAAATACATGTACATATTATTACATTATAATTATTATCTTTAACAAACTACCATGCCAGAATAAAAGTTATGTACACCAAAATGCATGTGCAACTTTGTTTTACATGATATGAATGTAACTCAACATTTCAGTGAGTAACTTCAGGACAAAATATATACAATATACCGGAAGTTGAAACATTCAAACTTCCACCAATGTTGCTGGTAATCAGTACCTAACGCATAACGAACCCGTGCACGAGGAGCATTAAGTAAAAAAGATTATTGTAGCTACATACACAAATAACAAAAAAAACGAATTAAGAATAAAAATTGTAACAATAATCCCTCCAACCCTTACATATTTTAGTTGTTAAAAGCTTAGGGGGAGAATTGTCTTTAAACAGGGTAGTGATAAGTCGTGTAAGGCCCTGAAATAAAGATGATACAAAATTAATTTTATCTCATAAAACATACGTCTCTGGTGGTATAACTTCTAATATTTTCGTCAATATTCTTAATGTACTTAAATATGTTACGTTAAGACTTAATAAATGTTGAGTCTGGTTAGAATTATCTACCAAATATATACTGCACCAAATATATATGTATATTACAAGTATGTTTTATATGACATTGCCATACAACAAAACTACATGTGATGAACAGGAACAACTGCCTTAACAATCGCTCTCTTTACATTACAAAAAAGCCATTATCATGATCAATTAAACCACTTTTTTTAAAGGAACCTCTTAAAAAGTTGTTAATAAACTTCTAGTTTCTTATTAATTATACTGTTTATAAAATAACGTTTTCTTTTTTCTGTTTTTCATTTTGTGTTGTTGCTTTTGCTAAAACATTGAAGAGATCATTTTAACCCTTTCCAAAGGCTGTCATTATAAAAAATTCAACTGTTAACTTATCAAAAAGTAAAAGTATATATACAGCGAGGTACCCGCTGTTTTAAACATGAACAGTTATAACTACTGAAAACATTTAACAATTTATCCTTCAACGTTGAATGATTAAATGTCAATATGGTATGACAGTAACATTCCCTATATTTAGCTGTAACACTAAATGTAAAGATAATTCGAGTGTAAATAAAGCAAATTGGCGTAATTTCTACACAAGTTACTGATTACAACTTTCTTACATGAATAGCTATCTAATGTGACACAAGTCAAGTTTGTATACAGCGTAAAAAGTAATCTATCAAAAACCCATTCATTCAAATACATGTACATATTAATGTATCATGTGAAAAACGTATTTCTTTATAAAATCTTATCTACACTTGGCCTTTAAGTCATAAGGAGGGATAACCTTGGACATTTTAAACATTTGTGATTCTGTTCTGTAAAAGCGCTACTGTGTAATAAAATGCAATCGACTGAACTGTGATATGTATTTAAGCAACTAAGTGAAGAAAGACCCCCCACACGTGTTTAAACATGTATCTACTCAAATTCCATATCCTGGTACATTAAGTAGCAAGCTATTTGCTTTGGAATTTTTATTGACTGAATGTCCACGATTTGCTGGCATTTTGGTCCAAGGCTTTTCCTTATTGTTTTTCTACATAAAGATTTCAAAGATGGTGGTCCTTCCGTTAAACTTTCGAGGCAAGCTTTCGTGGTAGCATGTAGTGGTTGAGAACACTCTGTGTTGGTTTTTATTCTAGTCAGACAATTTATGGCTGATTCACAGTAAACTTCAACCAAATACTTTACTATATACAGTTTCTGTTTGTGTACCGCGTGCTCAAGAGCATCGCATGGTCTACAAGAATCACTAAGGGTGGATTTTACGTCAAATCGACAACCAGCGTTAGTTAAAAGTCTAATTATTTCTGCATTTCCGGAATCAACAGCAAACCAAAGCGGCAAGGTTCCACCATCATCTTCAATATTTGGGTTTGCACCGTGTTGCAAAAGAAGTTGAACAAGATGTGGAGAATTATTGAACACTGCTTCATTTAATGCAGTCATTCCATGTAAACCACGGCTATTTACATTGGATTTACAGTTTAAAAGATAAATAGAAGTTTTTCTGTGTTTGCTTTTTATTGCACTAATGAGTGGTGTTTGACCATCTCTGTTCTTTTTCTCAATGTCAAATCCACGACTTACAAGTTCTTGAGAACATGCAACACTTCCGCTCGCGGCTGCGCAATGTAGCAACGAATTCTGATTGTTTGGTGCTTTATCCAAATCAGCTCGCTGATCAATGAAAAATGACACAAGCGGTGCATGACCTTTAGATGCAGCCACAAATATAGGCGTATTACCCATAGAGTCTTGAGCATCAATAAAACAGCCAACTTGGAGTAGTCGCCGGCAACATTGTAAATGACCTCGTTCTGCTGCTAAGTGGAGAGCCGTTCTTTTATTGTATGCAACCATGCTGACGTTACATTTATTTTCGACAAGTAAATCAATAATACTAACATGTCCGTTCATGGCCGCCATCATTAGAGGCGTAAACCGCCGAACTTCTTGGGCATCAATTTCAGCACCGGCTGCCAATAGCAGACGGCAACATTCAAAGTCCCCATGTTGAGCGGCAAAATGTAACGCTGTACATCCGCTGTGACTTGTTTTATTCACTTCACATCCAGTTGCGAGGTACAACTTTAACAGTTCAACGTAACCCTTTTCAGCCGCTGATATCAATGGCGTGTTCCCGAAAGAATCATCTTCCTCGTAGTCGGCCTTGGCGCTAACAAGAATTTTACAGATTTGTAAGTGACCATTTTCCGTAGCACAGTGTAATGCTGTACGATCTAAGTATCCTCGTCGTCTCACAACGGCTTGGTGCGCCAAAAGATATTTGACTAGACTAGTAAAACCATTGTAACATGCTAGAATAAGTGGAGTGTCATCCAGTCCGTTTCGAGCATTGATATCAGCACCAGCTTTTACTAGCAGCCGGCAGCATTCAAGATAACCATTTTCTGAAGCTAAATGCAAAGCTGTAGACTGTTCCGTTCCAAATCGAACCATTAAGTCACATTCCCATAAAATCAAAAGTTCAACTACCACTGTATGGCCATTTGCAGCGGCAGACGTTAAAGCATATGCACCGTCCCGACCCGGAATATCCGGTGACGCACCGGCTTCGAGAAGCGCAGCTGCACAATCAGCACGACCTTTGGTTGCTGCAGATATCAAGGTGTTTTGCAGAATTTCTGGCGTGCATTGTGCATCTTTTGCTAATTGTCTTACCAGCTTCACTTCGTTCTTATCGACTGCCTTTTCTAGCCTGAAAAATAAGACAGAACCTATATATTTTAACACTCAAAATAATGGCAGGTGATGTAGAATAACAAACATTTCTGTCTGTTAACAAAGTCTCTCACAGATAGCGAATAACTTCGCACACTGAGAGACTTGGCTCACTTCAGATAAAAGATAAGAATTTAAACAGAACATGTTTTGTCAAAATATTTATGTATACTAGCATTAAATTCGTAATTGTCTTTTAATTGAAATGTAAAGAGTTATACAATATGCCTAAAGTTCAGATCTACTTAATTAAAACGAAGTATTATTTATGACCTGATTTTTTACCACATTTTATCAGATTAAGCAGATTAAATGTTATATTACAGACAACTACATGCTACTGAATTTATTATTCAGCACACAGCAGAAAAATGTTGCTCACTGATATGCATTTAAATAGACAATGATGAGTTCTGTTGCTGGCACGTGCAACTGTGGGGGCATTCTGATAACAGACTATTAGACTTCACTGCGTTTGTTTACGTGTAAAATGAAGTTAATGTGGAAAACAGAGCTTGATACACATTGCTATATACATGATGAGAACAGAGATAAAATATCTCAACAATGTTTTATACCTCGCTGAAGTATTTTACGTTCAGAGAGAGCTCAAACTGAGTTTATGATAATAGAAAATAATCTTTTAAATTTATAGTGTTTTGCCTTCTGAAGTAAAATAGAAGGCTAAAATATTACGTACTTGAAAACAGTTCCAACATTAAAATTTACACTTTTTGCACTAGTATTTATTACCTAGTTATTTCGATGAGGTTATAATTATCTAAGTTTTAAGTACGCAAAGAGATGAAATGTAGCGTTATTAAAAACTCATTATTCGTAAACATTTATTGATGGTAGATGTTGGGGAAAAAACTCATCGTCGTAAAAAAAGTAAAGAATATAGGAACAAATAAATGGTATTAAAAATCGATAAATAAGTTCTAAAAAATGTTCTAAAAAAGAAAGGAATAAAGACCTTGCCGTGGATTTTTCGACACCTGCTTGGGCAGTCTTATAGACCGTTGACTTATACATCGGGCAGTTGTTCAAGAATTACGTTTCAACAGCTGATAAGGCCAATAAGAATATTATTTTAATGATTAATGTACTTTTGATATTCCCCAAATTCCTAGACTCTCCAGTTCCTATCATTTTTGATATTTTGGCATCGCAATTTCTGACACTGATGGGTAATTCTTATTAAAAAAAGAAGGAAGTTGTATAATTATGTTAAAGCATTGCCAATATAAACAGAAAGCTATACAGCATTATTAGCAGAATATCAATGAAACCTTCATTGAAAGAAACGACTGCTGGGTCATATCATTAGTTTTGAACAAATAAGTTTGTGTGTGTTTTTACACGGAGTAATATAATTATGAGCAAAACTCTGTAGCAAAATCTATAGTCGTGTGAACTTTACACTTGCAAATCTACATTGTGATGAGACTATATTAATAGCCAGAAGGGATATTGTGACATCGATATGTATCAGTCAGCAATATATACTCAATAATAATCAAATCTGTTGTATATCTGATATCATTATGTTAAATTAGATATATTCAATAATATAATGCTAAATTTCATGTGTTTACGCTTTTTAAATAGACAACTCAAACTTTATTTTAAAGCTATACCCCCAACAATACAGCCTGGTCGGACTGAATAAGGCTACCATCACAGTAGGTTCATGGTTAAATCAAGTTTGTTTCACTTATTTATGCATGCATCTGTTTTAAGTATTATCATCATTATTATTATCTCATCATTATTATCATCGTCAAGAGGCGTCCGAGGCCGAGGGTTTAAGGTATTTGACTTCAAACGACTTGTCTCTCCCCGCTGTGAATTTTAATTCATCCAAGAATTTTTTCATGTGAGGAAGCGAAGCTAGCCAACGGAGAGTCAGTGTTGCTACTCATGTGCCTGCTCGTGTCAAACATAATACACTGGGTGGGGTGGTGGCCGAGGGAGAAGAGACATGAGGTCTTAATTCATCAGTTCACCAGTAAAGCTGGTAAGTAACCGTATGACATTTACAGCGTTGGCACGACTTTAAGCTCTACTAACCAAACAAGCCAATTAACATGATCATCATTTTTTGTTGTTTTTTTATAGGTTTTGACTTGCAACATCAGAGCCAATTAGTGTGGTTAGCAAGCTAAAGTATTTCGATGTCTCTGGTTGGTTTTCAAATTCATAGCGGTGAAGGAAATACGATTTTTGACATTGATATCAAATATTTGACTATGTATAGATTGTCGTCATAGGTTCCTATCATTACAAATTCATGAAACAATAACTTGTTTCACAGTATATAAACGGAATCACTGTACCCCGTCTTGCGAGTATATACAATTCAATATGTACCCAGTAACCCTGTCTTGTTAGCAGAAGTACGTGTTACTTCCGATTACTGTAACCTTCTTGGGAGCCTATATATTTTAACTTAGATTGCAGGTTTATATAATGTGTATTTTGAAACAGTTTTGTAATATATACATTGCTGAAGGGTTTCCGCAAAACATACAGATATCACTTTTACCAGGTTTTATACCTGATCCTTAAGTTAAAATACCATGGTTTACTTACGACGTTTTACGTTTTTAGATCAAAAAGATATTATAACTTTTTTTTTCAATTCAGCCTTCAAAGCAAACTAACAACTGAATATTTAATTACTAATATCAGGTTTTGCTTTCAATGCACTAAGCTAACAATTTACAAGGAAATATTTTCACGGTAAAACTTAAGATATATAGTTTCCTTTTACTCTGTTTCGGGTTTAACTTGTATTATATCGATTTATCTCGTAATTATTAAATTAAAATGATAGCGAATATCAGAAAGTTTTATTGAAGTTCGCAACTATTGGATTTCAATCAGTAAATATTTACCAATTAATATTGAAATATGTTTAGATCTACTGTATAATTATAATAAAGAGTTTTTCACATGGTTGCAAGCGCTCGTGTATACATAAAAAGGTTCCAGGAATATTAATAAAATATTTATAGGATAAATTTTTTTTAACTGTACTTGTTTTTTAACAAGTGTACAATATCTTTAATACTATATAAGGCTTAATTATATATCAAATGTCCAAGCCAAAGACTTAGTAATTTATGTAGTAAAAAGTATCACTTAAGATATACTGTAGACTATATATAAACATAAGGTATCATAAAATACGTGTAATATCGACATAGTTAATGACTCCAATAATGCTATATACAGTAAGTGTAATAAAAAACACTGTTTTAGCCTACTTTATGATGATATGCTGGTTTCGCGGTGTTACATTAACCGTCAAAGCAGCTGTCAGTAAAAAAAATACCATATAGATCTTAAGTACATATATATCACGTATTAATGAGACATTGCATGGCTAGCCTAGAGATTTAATATCTATATACTTGCTACTGGTTCAAGGTTATGACCATATTATAATGACGTGTCTTTGTAGATCAGTAATTTAGAAAATCAAATCTCTGGGTATTGATAAGTTACAGGAATAATTAACATACATCTATTTATATGTTTATACCAATATAACAATGATAAAAAGGCCTTATCTAAATATATATTTATAAATAAATTTATACCGCTATATAGATTTATAGCATGAAACATGATACTTTAATGTCACACGGTTAAGGTCGTTTTAAACTGAATGTTTGCCGGATATTTACGACCGTATGTCTATATATATGTCTTATGCGACAATAGATTTAATGTTTTAAACACGGAGCCGCTTCAGGATTGTGAATGTACATGTACATAAATTATATACATACATATAATACATATATGTGTAATTAATATTACGGACTCATTTGAATCCACTTCAGTTGGGTTACAATTTCATTAGTTCTTCAAATCAAATGCATTATCTACGAATATCCTAGATCGTGCAGTCTGCAGTTCTAAGTCAACCGTAAGATATGTAGTATCGATTAAGCTATTGCATGCAGTCTACAGACGGTTAACATGTATATAAAAATCCGATATCTAACTAGCAAATTTGTAAGTTTAAAATAACTTACTCAGACATATTGGATGGTCAATGGAGCACATAACACCATTAGATATCCATTTTATGCTATTACACAGCCGAAACTAGTTCACTTGCAGAAATCTAGATCAAAACAATTTAAAGATAACAGACTTCCTAGTCACGTGATCAAAACAAAAATTTTATCAATAAACAGAGGCAGTCACTCAAACAATTTGGATTGCTTCCCTTTGACTGAATTTCCTTGTTCTATTAGGTTATAACTAAAGAAAAACCATTGTTTTGGTAAAAACTATTTCGAAACATCCAAATATTGTTGTTATTAAATTATTATAGAGGTATCCTTCATTTATTTATTCATTTATTCATAGCATGTACATCCTTCTAATAGCCTAATATTCCGTATACCGGATAACGGAGATAGGACATAGGCGGTGTAAAACTAAATTTATCCTCGACTGATAAATGAAATTGAAAATGCGTCCTGACGAACACAAGAAGAAAAAGAACACTCAGTATAAAAAGAAACATGGCATTTCAGAAAAGGAAAACAAAATCAAAGAAGACCCTAGAAATAAAACCAACGTGCAAGACCAAAAAGCAAAACTTACAAACGTCAATGGAGCTGAATCCAAAGAATTTCAACAATCCGACAAAACCAAAGACAAAGTGAAAGTAGGTTCTAGTTTTTGTATTTTTGTAGCCTAATTTATTCGGTGTGACAGTTGAACCCATTGTACAAACATGTTTTTCAAAATGGCAAAACATTGCCCATTAAAAATTATCTCGATGTCTCTTTGACATTTAGTTTAGTCTCATTAGTTGCACAGGCATGACAGGGACACAGGTGCTCGTCCACTCTTGCCTTTGGTGCCCATATAAAAATCAAAGGGCTGCAAGCTCTGTGGTATTTTCTGATCTTTGCAATCTAAATCGTTATGTATATCTGTATGTTATTTTCCTGTAAAAGTTATTGTAATATACTATAATTCCAGTCTATGCGAAAGTCAAATTTTTTTTCAGGCCACAAGGACCGAGACCCTTACTTAGGTTTTTTTCCGGCCCGGATGATATTTTTCGGGCCCAGACATTTCAAGCATTGTTTTATAATAACTCGGTTGAATGTAAAAATTGTCTTTCTTTAAATTAGTGAGACCATCAATATAGAGACATAAGAAGATGCTGACCAATTGAAATAACTTAAGCAGGGTTCTCACTAGGATTTTCAAAGGAGGAGTCCTTGGACTCCCAAGCACAGAAAAGTAGGAGCACAGAGCACGTTGAATATGTTAAGCCATCTTTGCTGCACTTATGCAGTTGACGAATATGATGTTTATTAGCAGAGTAAGCTAGGGGTTTGAGAGTCGGAGTTTGAACAGAGAAAAAGCTTATTATTCAGGAAAATGGTAGTATGTCCCAAATGAATTACACTGTACCATAAAAGGGATTGAAAAGATTTGAAATATAATTTCAAAAACCCTACATCATCAAACCATTATGCTGTTTTCTTCCAGATTCACACCACACACCCCCCCCTCCCATAAGAAAATATTCATTGTATGTGACAAACACATACTGGTAAATACCTCCATCTCAACTAATGTGAACAATATCTTTAGTAATTTTAATTCTTAAACTACATTTAAGTGTTATTACACACATTTTAACAAAACAAAGTTTCCTTTTTGTTTAATACGATTTTTTTAATTATAAAAAGTGGCATCGCGAAAATATGTGACAATTGAAAATTTGTCTGTTTCCTGCAGAAACATTCACAATTCTACTTGTTGTTGATTTTGATTATATTAGATTAAATATTTTTTGATTATTTTAAGATTGTTACTAATCGGCTATTTCAACAGGCATCATAAAACAAAATTTTCAAATCTGTAATTTACGGCAAAATTTACCCTTGTTGATGAAACTTTTTGAAGACAGAGAGGTATTTAGATCTATTTGACAGGTACAAAATAGATCTAAGGTTGGTCAATATCTTCTTTAATAAATTCTTTGCGTCACCGGGAACTTGTTATCAATCAGGTCATTGATATTTTTAACTTTTTGAAATTTTATTCGGACATGAGGACTGACGGAAAGGAATTTTTCTCGGACCGCATGATTTTTATTCAGCCAGGACCGAGGACCGACGGACTTTCGCACACACTGAATTCATCTTACAGGACACCGAGATGCAGCGACTGCTTTTAGATTTTTTTTACAATAACAGTTTAAGTTTGATACAAACAGAATTTTGCATGACTAGAGTTGCATCAAAAAATCATTAATGTTCATTTTTTATAACAGCCACACTTTATCCTTGCATATTGTGGCTACTTCCTTAAAAAAATAGGTGCCTTGACTTGGATTTGAACCCCAGACCCAGTGATTTTCCTACTTATATAACAGACTCCGAAAAAAGGCCTCTTCCCAATTGAAATTTTCTTTAAAATCATGCAGTTTTCCCAAAAATCTGAACTTGAACCAGCTTTTTTACTTCCCAAATCAGCAAATTTAGCGACAATTTTTCCCAATATCAAGAGGATAAGGCCTCATCCCAATTAAGTAAGAAAAATCACTGAGACCTCTCACACCCTGGACCGGCATAAACAACATGACCTCGCTGTACTGGACTTCAGCAAAGCCTTCGACCGTGTCCCACACAGTCGCTTGCTTGTCAAGCTCCATCATTATGGCATCAGAAACCATACCCTGAAGTGGATTGAGGCATTTCTAACAGGCCTCACTCAGCGCGTAGTTGTTGATGGAGCAACGTCCGACCCAGCACCCCTTATCAGCAGAGTCCCCCAGGGAAGTGTGCTCGGACCCATACTCTTCCTGGTCTTCATCAATGACCTGCCACTTCATGTCACGTCCAAAGCCAGACTCTTTGCTGACGACTGTGTGGTATACCGGGAAATCAACACTGAAGAGGACTGCCACATTTTACAGGATGACCTGAAGAAGTTGGCATTGTCGGAGAAACGCTGGGGCATGAGTTTCCACCCAGAGAAATGCAGCATAATCAGGGTAACCCCATCATATACCCGTACTCCTTGAAGGGCCACACACTCGAGATAGACTCGATAACCAATGACCTCGGAGTCCATATGTCTGGAAACCTCTCCTGGAATCAACATGTTGACAAGATCGTGAAGAAGGGCAACAGTACACTCGGCTTCCTTCGACGCAACCTGCGCATCAGCAATGAACAGGTCAAGAGCACAGCCTACATGTCACTCGTGCGACAAGGCCTTGAATATTGCTCCACCGTCTGGAACCCTTATACCAAGGACCTTACACGCAAGCTCGAGATGGTCCAGAGGAGAGCTGCAAGATATGTGATGAACCGTTACCACAACACAAGCAGCGTATCCTCAATGATCCAACACTTGGAGTGGGAGACATTAGAGTCACGACGGACCAAAGCCCAGTTGACCATGATGTTCAAGATCACCAATGACCTTGTGGACATACCAGTCAGCGATTATCTCACCCCTGCCCCGAGCCGCACTAGAAGTGACCACTCCAAGAAGTTCCATCTACCATCCACATCTACATCGTACTACAAGAACTCCTTCTTCCCTCGTACAGCCACAATATGGAACAGCTTACCTGCCTCCGTTGTAGAGGCCCCTGACTTGGTATCCTTCAAGCAGGGGCTATCAGCCCTCACATTCTAAGTCGCCTTATGGGCCCAGCTACAAGTACCCACTAGTGATATCCAAGGCTGTGCCGGCAGCGGCCACCGTAACCGGAGAGGTTTGGGTTGAAGAGGTGAAATATAGCTGGCCATACTTTTTGTCTATTTCTCTACCTTTGTACTATCCAACCTCTTCTAACTTTCTATCATTTCTTGTATATTTCTTTTTCTTGACCTAGCACCACTTGTCAGGTCATAATCAAGTGTGATTGCGCCGACGTACATTGTAGATGTAGAAATAGACCCTAAACGAGCGCGTTACCCCAGCACCACTGAGAGGTTATACGAAGAAAGCCGTAATAAAATCATATAATACTAAATTTAGAATTTCTATTTCGGGTTTGTAATCCTTATTAATTTTGTTAACATTCTTCTTCTACCTTATATACAATCTTAAATGACTTACATTTAATAGGTAAAAGCTCGGATGAGTTTGAACAAGGGTCATCTTGGATGAAAAACTAGGTCATAGGAGCTAAAAATAGAAAAACCTTGTTAACACTAGTGGTCACATTTTTGCCTCAATCATCATCAAACTTTGTCAGGATGATTGTCTAGGTAATAGCTCGTATGAGTTCGAACATGGGTCATCTCGGATGAAGAACTAGGTCACAGGAGCTAAAAATAGAAAATCTTGTTAACATTCTAGTGGTCACATGTTTTATTCTATTGTCATCAAACTTGATCAGGATACTTGTCCAGATAATTGCTCAGATGAGTTCGAACATGGGTCATCTCGGATGAAGAACTAGGTCACAGGAGCTAAAAATAGAAAATCTTGTTAACATTCTAGTGGCTCCTGTTTTAATCCAAGTATTCTCGAAATTGGTCTGAAAGTTTGTTTTGATGATTTCAACTGTGGTCAAAAAGTAGGTCACACTGCTCAAATATGGATAATCCTTGTTAACGCTCTAGTGGTCACATTTTTGGCTCACCTGTCATGAAACTTGGTCAGAATGCTTGTCTAGATAATTGTTCGGATGAGTTTGATGGGTCAGGTGAGCGATCTAGCGCCATCTTGTTAAAGATGTAATACAGTTCAAATTCATCGCAATGACACATTTCATGATGGGCATTTTGCCATTTATGGAATGCCTATAAAAAAACTTTCTGAGTAAGGTTCTAGACTTCAGCATGATTGGCCCTTTAGTGCAGAGCACCTGTGACAGTTTGATAAGTTGTCATGTTTTGTTAAGGAAAGTGATGACAAAGTCCTGTATATTCGTCCAGATTCTGAATCTCAATTTGAAACTGTTAAGGAAACTGTGAAAAGTAATATTAAATTTGAAGGCTTTGAAAGTGATGAAGACAGTGACAATGACACTGTGACAAGGAGCTTTAAATGCTTTTTTTACATAACTGGAAGTGTGCTGTTTTAGATTAAGATTTTTAAAGTATCATACTTGTTGATAATAACTGCATAGAATTATGTTGACAAAATGTAACTTAGTTCATATTGTTTGCAACTACATTGTTTATGTTATACGAGGGGTGATCAAGAATTACGTAGACTGGTTCAATATCTTTGAAACGGACCCATATAAAATATTTTTATTTATTTCACTGTCCTGACCTATCTCTTTGCCATTTACAAGGAGCTGTAAATCAGTCATGCATTACTCAGAGCAGAATAACTAGCATAATTGTAACTATAGTAACACGTTACCGGCCCAGGCGCTATTTTTATATATAATTGCTTTATTCAATGCATTATAATTTCAACACTGTTTATCAAAATAACAGAAAAATGCAGTGTTTTCGGATGTTTGTATGACGTCACATAAAAAATTGACGTCATTTGAAGTTATAAAAGGAAAATAAACAACGTTTAAACCATAGTAGTCCGTTACGCAGCTACGTTAAAATGACACCACAAGAACGCATTGAATTGCGTGCCAACATAAAATTCTGCATGGAATTAGGTGAAACGCCTACAGACACATATAAAAAGCTGCAGAGGACCAGAGGAGAGAATGCTGTTTCTCGATCACTCAATTTTAAGTGGTTCCGGTGATTCTCTGAAGGGCGGAAGTCACTTGAAGATGATGAAGGGCGTGGAAGAAGGTCAAGCCGTCATTATTGACGTCAATTGAAGATATTATCAAGGAGGATGCAAGAGTGACCGTTCAGAAGTAACTTGAATGAGCTATGGAACCACGCATACAATTATCACCAAGAAATTGAACATACAAAAGGTATTTTATGTGCAATAACTTATGTTTTTTTTTTTGTTTTAATCACTCTACAACCTATTCAGTTTCGAATATAAAAATATTAAAATTTTCCGCGCTAATTTATGATTTCGCATGTATTGTTATAAACAATAAAATGCACGGATACACATTTGTTTCAAACATGCTGCGTAATTCAAATTTATAAACAATGTATCAAAAACTTAAATAATTTTACAAAATACTTTAATATTTGCTTATCAAGTATAAACGCCAGCTGAAGGGCCAACGCTTTGAGAATTTGGAGGACAAACACCCTAATACGTCAGTATCCAGCAGAGTATTACAGGAATATAATATATTCTTCTCTCAGTGGCCTAAGAGGTATGAACGTTGCATTGCATTTTCTGGCTCGTACTTTGAAAAAGAGTGAATGTCATGTGCCAGTTAACGCTTTTCCGTAAACACTTACGACGCTGGGACGTCGCTGACGTCAAGAGATTTTTGACGACGTGGGCCGGTACCGCGATAGTGACACATTTTCATGGTTTGTTATTCCAAATTATGTAAACATATTGTAAAACGAAATTGCATGTTGTTTGTTGATAAAACGTACTTTCATGTGATATAAGTTTTATGTACATTTGTCAAACAATAAATGAGATATTGAGCCAGTCTACGTAATTCTTGATCACCCCTCGTAATAACATGTAAACATTGTGATTGTTATTTTCTCCATTTTATGCATAGAAGATTTAATATAGAATGATTTAAAGTGACTGTTGAATATAAAACACTTGTATTAAGAAACCCCTGATGGTACAATCCTAACCTGATGTCTTCACAAATTATTTTAAGTCCACATGTAGTTTTAAAAATATTGATTGCATCATCAATCTTCAAGACTACTGCAGGTATTCACTTGAATCTTCACACATGTTTTCCTTAACAACAAGAACTCAGTATCCAAGGCTGATAACTTTCACTTGGACATTTATTTTGCTGAATTATAGCTCTTTGTGAACTGAGAAAATTTTTAATTAAAATTTGAATTCCAAACAAATAAAAATATTCTCTAGAAATTAAAACATGGATTTTGAATCAAGGCCCTTTGTGAAGTTAAAAAAAATAGAGCCAATATTTCTGAAAAATAAAGTCTATTTTTCATGTCTGCTCTAGAACATCGTTGCACGCAATACCCAAGTTTCATAGCTGAATCGCATTAAATTGTCAATTAATAGATCCCTACTCTTGACATCTAATTTGAATAACATTAGATTTAACCACAAACATGGACATGTGCTATTTTCTGAAATTCTTATTGTATCCAATAATCTGATAATTATAATTAGACAGGTCAGGGATGTATGGTATTAACTTTGACACACAGATGGAATTTTGAAATAGCAAAAAAATTTCAGTTAAGGTACAATGTAGCATGCATGGTTCAAGCATAAGAGGCAGGTTCCATGTATACAGGTTGAATTTAAATAGTCTAGAGGACAAAGGCTATAAAAGGCCTCCTTTTCCTGTTATTTCAATAACTTTACGATCCTTTGATTGACTTTGAAAATACTGTCAAATCTGTGTTAAGGACCAACTCTGGATAAAGACCACTCAGTAAATAAAGGACACTTTTTGTCAACCCTTTGGCGTCATTGATTGAATAGAACAGTGTAACCTCCAAATAAAGACCACTTGGTTATAAAAGCCTGATGATGTTCAGTCTCCCTTGGATGACCTTTGTTTAAAAGTTTTACTGTACATGTGTTCTTTTCACATTGTTAATTTATGAAAATCTGTTAAAACTAGAATCAAGTTATTTTTATTCAAAATTTTTCAGTTGGAAGAAACAGAAGAAGTAAGTAAACATTATGGAAAGCGTAAGTTAGAGAGTAACTGGAGTAGATATGAGGACGACTCTGACAGTGAGGTAGAAGATGATCTTCCATTACAAAGAGGAGAAGACTTCAACAAATTGTTGGCTCAAGCAGGTGCATATACATGTATATTATAAGTTTATATAGGTGACTGACGGGATATATGCAATGAGATCTGTATAACCCTGCGGTTAGAACTGTCATTGAATCAGTGCAAAGCATATAGATAATGCATTGATATCAGATGACAAATATCAGCAATATGCTGATACATTAATAATAAGTCCTTATTTCTTGTATATAATTCTAAGAGGATATTTTTTTGGTTTGAGTGAAATATGGAATATATTTTCACGAAATATGGAATAAATTTTCACAAAACATGATAAAATGCCACATATTTCACGAAAAATGAAAAAATAACCTTTTTAATTAATTCATTATCACAGAAAAATGGTTACGAGCCCCCTTGCTTGCTACGCAGCTGCAATTGTATTGGTGCAGTAATATAATTATTATTAGTCGGGTTAGGGGTGTACATAATATCAAAATGGTTTAAGAAAATAATTTTGAAATTCATACAAAAGGCTTAGAGAAAATTATTTAATTATAAAGGAAAACTGTACCAATAACAAATGGATAAAATTTAATATGATTATTCTATTTAGCTTTACATTGATAAATTTGTATTTCATTCTGAAGAGATTTTAAAGTTAAAAGTTGAGTTGAAAAAAAATTTTACAATTTGAATAGGCAGAAAATTCATATATTTATTATAACTGAAAATATCTTCATTTTATTTGAATTATCTCAATTATCTTGGTGTACACTACATATAAATACAATTTAACAGAATCCTTTTTGTTTGCATAGAACTATATCCTTTATTTTCATATAAAAATAATGACATTTACCGGTAGCTATATTAAGATAATGA